AGACCCTGCCGTAAGATTTTTTGGCACGTTAGTCTACCTCTTATACTTACACCAGGGCAGACATATACCTACCCATTAGTGTTATAAGCTTGTTCTTCAGTTGAGTATCTAACCGAGCAATCATCATCTCTACAGCATTCCTGATTTCCCGAACTCGTTCATCCTTCGCACTGCGTACTGCCTCTACGTTTCTTTCCTGAAAGAGGGTGCAGGAGTAATATGTGGATAAATGGAGAAGCCCTTTTCTACAAAAGGCACAAAACTAAGCTGCTTTTGAAAGCAACTGAGGAGTAGAACAGGTGTAAATAACTGGCCACAAAATACAAGAAACTGACGTTGCTGTAGGAAGACTTGTTTTGTTAGAGTGCTATGGAGGTATTTACAACTCAATCTTGTTGAAGCAAGAAAAACAGATTACATTTAAACACGTACAATAGTGTACCAACACTACTACGGACAGGTTTAAAACATACTAATCTGGTCATGATTAAAATCCCCATTTTTAAAACGTGGCCTATTTTCTGAGTCGAGACAACCAGACTTTTTATTATAGCGAATCACTATTAGCAATTTAAATACTTCAGTTTTCTACTGTAAATATATTTAGGTTTTTATTGTGTACATAAGTGTGCCCCCTGGTGGTGACTGAAGGTCTACAAAATAAAAACCATTTTTCTCAGAGTAATTTGTCAAAACCAGTCTCGTAAGCATCAAACGCCCCCTTGAAACTACAGTTTATATAGTTTCTTCTATGCAAAACACAACAAGAGACACAATGAAAAGAAATAACTTCCTGGAAACAGCAGCCAAAGCAAAAGGAAAAAGAATAATGTTTAAAGAAGTGCTGAGATTTACAAAGGTCCTTTTCCTCCTTGAATCACCCCAAAGCACTTCACAAACCATGTGCACACCCAATACCACCAACAGATCTTGGTCATCTTGGGTGTGAAGCAGGGCTAATCAACCAGCACACACTGCAAACCAACTGAAGGGAGCAAAGTACGGCAAGGAACAACAGGCAAACCTCTCTTCTAATTTTAGAGCAAATAAGAATGTACTCAGGTAGAGCACATGAAACCTTATTTTCATTTTACTCAAAAGGTTTGTACACTACATTGCATGCTTGCCAGAGAAATCTGACAGTAAGGAGGTCTGAATTGTCCTAATGGAATTTAAGTCTGTAATTCCAGAAAACCAGATGCTTCAAGCCTTAAGATTACATCAAATATAGCTTGGCAGTTTTTGTTTTGGTACAACTATGCCGTTTAGAAGGGCAACCTTTTCTCCAAATTAGTTATAATATTACAACCACAAGCATGAGCTCATTTGCAGCAGAGCAAGTTACCTTATACCAGTGCAGCCAGTTTCCACTTGGAAAGGGAAACAAGCTATCCTGGAACATGACACTTATTTTGGTATGACTTAAGTCATGTTTAGAGGGACTGTACCTTACCTACACCAGCTACTAGAGCAGTGGTCTCCAAAGTGGGGTGTGCACGAGGATCCATTGGGGTGCGGGAAGAAACTATTAGAACTTTAATTTAGATTTAGATTTATATAGAAATACATATATTGGGGTGCATGCCCAAAATTTTTTTACTGATGGGGTGCAAGAATATAAATATACACATATTGGGGGTGCATGCTCAAAAATTTTTTACTGACAGGGGTGCATGATCAAAAAAGTTTGGAGACCACTGTATTAGAGGGGCAACCTACCTGTTTAGGCAAGCCAGCATCCAGGTGCAGCTATCGCTGCAAGTCTCCCTAGGGGATAAGCTAGCCCTTCATTGAAGGGCTTTCTACAAGACTAACCACACAAAATCCACACAAAATATGATCTCAAGGGCATGCTGCAGCATACAGCTTCTTTCAGGAATTCTCTTTTCAATCCATCTCTAACTTCTCTCCTATTACAGATAACCTGAAGACCTCAATCTTACATTTGTTGTGCAGACAAAAAGGCGGAAGCATTTTCCTGGATTCACTTCTTACCACTTCTTGCACTAGGCTGATCAGCTCCATGAGTCTCCTTCGAAGCTTTGCTACCTCTTCGTTCACTTTTGTGACATGCTGCTCATAAATTTCTGCCAGTGGCTTAAATGTGTGTCCTCCATGCTATTAAAAAACGGAAACAATAGAACATCCCATTTTACTGCACTGCTCTTAAGAGGTGCCTTCTTCCCAGGCCTCATTCATTGGGTTGAAGGTTCCAGAGGAGACTTTTGATAGGAAGTCTGCCTTACACTTCCCTAAGTAACAAAAAAGCTCCAGCAGTGCTTCCTGCAAGGACTTATTTGGGAACTAAGCACACATCCAAAAACGAGCATCTACATTTACTGTGCAATGTTTTAACTATGCAAAAAAACTGTTTGCATGAAAAAGCTATATGTTTGTTGACTGTTCAGCCAAAAGACTGAACTACATGAAGTGTCTGTCTCACGGAAACAGCTGACTGACAGAGGAGAGTAGGAGACATAAGGACTTTGAGTGCCAGCAGAAGCCCTCTTCCAATTGAAGGTGGAGAGAAGGGATAATGTCAGGTTAAGGGATTGTTAATCTTTTCAATTTCTTACTAAATGGCTCAAGATATCATTTTAAGATCATAACAATCTAGCTTTTCCTACCATTTATGCTGTTGGCTTTTTATTGCTCAGCTGTTTGGAGAATTCAGATCTATGTTCCACACTTTTGTTTACACGTATTTTTGAGTGTTTAACTTTCAGGTTCTCGTGGGCTTGTACAGCACTGCAGTGGTGCTTAAAGAACTCACAGCACTGAACACATGATCTGAAGACTTTGTACATTTTGCCCTTCTCTTTCTCCTAGAGAAGAGACAATTCTTTCAAAAGGCCATGTAACACAACACAATGTACCTTTTTCCTATTTAAAAAAAGCTGGATTGGAAAGATAACACACCAAAGCTTTTCAAACTGTTCCCAGTTACGTTTACATTTAACTTTTTTTCCTAACTTTTAAGTCAAAACTGACTTAGTCTCTCTCTTCAATCAATCAGATTTAGGGAGCTTTGCACTGGAGTCTAGGATATACTCTGTTAAGAGCTAAGCAAGGAGAAAGCTATTCTAGTTCCCACTCAAACTGGAGAAGAAAGCAGCAGATGTCTATAGGGAGCATATCACAAAGGAGATGGCCATCTTTCCTGACCAAGGAGTGGCCCCCAAGTATCCAAGATTACATTGGTATTAAGCATACAGCAGTAATCATAGTGCTGGGCAAAGGACTCATTCCTTGCGCTAGAAATTTCTTGTTGTTACCTTCAGTTTGTCTACAGTAGTTTTGATCATGAAATATACAAAAAGGGTAATTCTAGCCATGTTCCAACAGCACTTTCCTGCTTTACTACGTTGCATAAAATATTGCCTAGATTAAAGCCAAAATTTACCAGACTCTTGTTTTCCTGTAGCTATAGTATTTGAAAGGCAATTTGAAAATGACAGTAAGAGTCTTATGTCATAACTACCATTTCTACAACAATTTAAGCACTACAGAGACAGTGGCCCATTTTTCCATGTACACATACCATGCTGTGAACCACATACTCACCATTCCTCCCCAGAGGGCGCACTGGTGGCAAATACATTTCTTACATGTCCAGCAGAACACACTCAGCTTTTCATGATGATTTTCACACCTGTAAAAAAAAAACAGTTATGGGAAATTACACACCTGTAAGTAGGGTACAAAGCAGGTTTTTTTTGTTGCCATGACTTTGGGAGCAGAGCAATAAGTTCTAGGGGTGACCAATGGTCTCCAAATAACCATTAGCCAAAATAAGTTGCAAATTACAATTTTTTTTTAAACAAAGAGGTCTCAGCTCCCATTACCGATCAAGATCCAAGATGCTTGAGAAACTATTTATCTCTATGTTCCTCCAAGACAACCAAGATGGGCAGGATTTGCTGGACCGGGATGTGAATCTTTGGAGTTCAATGACTCGCAAACACTAGGTGTCACGCTTATACTGTCACCTGGATTTTTTTATCCTCGGCATTACAACCTGTCTCTGGCTGTCTTCTGCAATAAGGACAGGAGCAGCCATTTTAATGTCATCTTCAAGACTGTGCAAGACCTTCCTTGATTCACCTACGTTTCATCGATCTTTATCAAGAGAGTACAGAAAAATGAAAATGAACATGCAAGGCAAAAAAAAAAAAAAAAAAAAAAC